CTTCAAAATCACTATAAGAAGCAACACTTTCTTACCACAAACAAGTAGACTAGGGCTTCAAGGTCCCAAACTTCTTAACACACTACCTTAGCATACTCTATTCTAAAATCAACCGAGCATATTCTCAAACCGTGTACACCACTACCACTTAGGAAGAAAAGCATTCATGAATACAAGTCCAAAAGTATTATGTCCAAAGCAAGAACAAAATATAGATACAATGCAAAATTGTCTTGATAGAAACCAAAATCTATTTGGTATTTTCAAAATAAAGAACATGGAAAATGCATACACAAATATGCATGGCATATATTAATCAAAATCCCACCAAACATGATAGAATACCCTCCCCCAAGCTAGAATGAGACAACATGCTCAAACCATAAATCAAAGAATTCATAGGAGGGGAAAAGAAAGAAATCAATCCAACAACCCAACATATGTCCAACATGTTACCAAACATTAGAAAAAGAGCAAAGAAAGATATTACCGGATATAGGTGGGTGTAAAAACCCGCAATTGACCCAATTCAACCTTTCAAAACCAATTTCTTCCAAAGTTATGCCTCATATGCTATATGCTAGGAAAGAGGAGTCAATCTTCCTTGATTCTTGATCCAATACCAATGCATAAGAGTATATTAAGTCATGTACCTAGACAAGACACACAAATATTTTCATGAGAGAAGATCTATAATAAAAAGAAAAGAAAATGAAAGCAATAAAACATGGGTTACTTCCCGAGAAAGGCTTGCTTAAGGTCCAAGCTTGACCGCTCTAGTAAATAATATTGCAACGATCGCAAAAGCTTGTCAAATGCACTACTACACATCTCGTAAGATAACAAGTAGGCAAATGAGGGGAGAGGGGCATGCAACAAGATTAGTGCACGCAAAATAAAGTGAAGGAGTTGCCAAGAAGAAGAAGAATCAAAAGAAAATTCAAGAAAATAAGAAAGAGAAGAAGAAGAAGAAGAAGAAGAAGAAGAAGAAGAAGAAGAAGAAGAAGAAGAAGAAGAAGAAGAAGAAGAAGAAGAAGAAGAAGAAGTGACAAAAGATCTCTCTTCCTCAATAATGAATGAGTTGGGAGCCTGAAAATCATGAATAAAAGGAGGGTCTCCAAGAGGCTCTTTGAGAAAAAGAAGGGAGGGACATAGGATAAGAGGGGATATGGTTAAATTTCCTTGAAAAAGGGATATAAGAAAAGGGAATAGGAGCAATGGTCTCACAAATGGTCTCTTCGCTTCTACACCACCATTCCTCATATCTCTAATAAGCGCATAGAAATCAATCATAGAATCCTCAAAAGAAGAACACTCATGATCTCCATCTTCCTCAAACATCAACCTTTCAAGAGAAATTACATCATCCTCTCCATCACAATAATAAACAAAAACTCCCTCAACATCCTCAAAGCCCAAAGTCTCAAAACCATGCATGAATGGATGTAGATTCATTTCAAACTTATCTCTCTCTCATGAAGCATCCTCAATGAACTCACTCAAAAGGCTATGATTTTTTATTTTTAATTCAAAGAACATTTTGGACATAACCTTAAACGAGTCCAAATACTCATGGATAGAAGAATCACAATCATGCACTTGGGACTCATCACAATCTACATAGGAAGGGGAGTTTAGATTCGCAAAATCATCATCATCATCACTCTCAACTCCCTTTCCTTCATTAATATGCTCACTAATAGGATCCTCACAAACTCTTGGTTGCTCAAAAACATTATCATCATCCTCAATACACACATTGGATTTGGAATTTTCACACACAAGCATCAAAGATGACAATTGGCTTTCTAGCTCTCCATTTCTCCTTCTTGCTTCCTCAATACGCTCCTCACTCCTTTTCATCATCTCCAATTAATTTTTCATAGAATTGAAAAACAACTCCTTATTAGGCCCAAGAGTATTATCAAGCTCAACATGCCTAATTTGGGATTCAAAAATATCGATAAGAGACTCAAAAGGTGTAGATGGTTGAGGTTCAACAAGGGAATGAGGATCACAACCAAAATTGGAAGCATCAACATTAAAATCATGAGCATATTTATCACCTTGGAGAGAGGGGCACAATCAAGTACATGAGATTCATCATTGAGGGAACAAAGCACATCACAAGAAGACATGGTAAAAAATGAAGAATATTGGAATACACCATTAGCATCAATTTGAGCATGTACCGCATCATCATGAACAATAGGGGAAATAGAGTTGAACTCATTCGTTCTAGGTTCACTAATGGGATCATATGACAATTCATGGGAATTCATGCTAACATTAGAAGAATCAAGACATTTCACATCAATATTAAAATCATGATTACTTCCATTATAGACATCCCAAGAAAACCAAACATAAAATTCCCAAGTATCATCAATTCACAATGCACTTAAAACACCATTATGCATGTATTCAACTTCATCCCTAGTTTGCTCATTTAAACCAAAATAACAAATCTCACAAGCCTCCCAAAGACTACAACAATTATAGTCAAGAAATCCTTCAAGTATATTGTAATATTCACAAAAAGGCTCATTATTATATTGAGGAAATGAGAGACATGCCATTTTTTTTTACAACAACCAAATAAAAATAAAATAAAAGAAAAGTATATACAAAGACCTAGACTTCAGCAATAAAAAACACTCAAGCATAGACACCGTTCCCCGGCAACGGCGTCATTTTGACGTAGGGAAAACTATGTCGTTAACTAATCCTCCCTAAGGTCAAACAAATTTTATAATCACTTAACAAACCTAAATACAAGTATAGAGGTAAGTCAAAAGTCGAACTACTAGGAACGGTTATGCTCAAGTGCTTTTAATCTACGCCTAAGCTAGGTCGAACTTGAAGGTGAGGAAAGACTATACAACTACCAAAACAAACAAGAATCACACAAATGAAACACTAGGGAATGGGGATCAACATTTAATCATGACAATTGCAACAACTTAGGAAGGTTAAGCTAATCAATGGTTGTGAAGACTAATGATAAGAGCTATCAATTGGAATCAAAGCGCTATCACCTAATCATCAAGCTAGATTTCCTCTATGAATGATAAAATAGGAGAATCACAATCCAAATCAATCAAGAATTGCAAATCCTAAATCAAGTGGTCATGTCATTGAGATCTACAATGCAATCTAGCATAGTTCTAAAAGCCTAATCAAACTAGTCACATGAAAACTTACATGAATCACTTTAATCTCAACAATCAATCAACATAATTCCCAAATTAATCACAATCAATCAATCATACAAGTTTTACCCAAACCCTAGCAAGCGACTACTTACTACAATACATCATCAAATTAAAGAAGCAAGTAAATGAAATCAAGAATCAACAAATATTGAAGAAAACCTACTCTAATCAAGAATCAATCATCAAAACCAAATGAAACAAACATGAAATTAAAGAAAGCAATAAAGAGGAGAGAGAGTAAGAAATGCTCATTGATAATTGAGAAGATCTTCAATAAAATTATCACTCTTGATTCTTTAATCTCTCAAATCACCATTGAAATCTCTCACTTTCTCTCTTAAGAACTACTCCTAAGCTAGCCTAATCTAGAGAGAGAAGCTCTCAACCTAAGCTAAAATATGATAGAGAAATTTTAAGCTATTCTAAAGTTTCCTTTAACTAGTAAAGTCAAAGCCTATTTATACAAATAGTAAAAATTTGACTCAAGACCTTGTGGTGCACACGCACAAGGGGTTATGTACGCACACACAAGTGGTATGCGCGCACACACAACACGAGCATTAAGCACAAAAGTAGAACTGTCGTGCCACGGTGCTTTTTGCCGTGGCACGGCGCACCTTCCGTTACGTGGCGCAGCTGCCGTGGCGCGGCGGTCTTTTCTGTGGCGTCGGTACCTACCGTGGCGTGGCAACAATGTAGTAGCAGTAGCTCCCTCTTGCATGCTTTAATCCTTACACGCACAGGCATGCCCATCACCGACGCTCTCACATGATGCTCACGAGGGGGGTAGCCTTCAAATCTTCATTTTAGCGTGTTCATGACCAATAGATGTGATGAGAGCGTGCACGAGAGCGCTAGGCCTTGAGTATGAGTATGCTTCACAAGTTGATCCTTAGGCATCCAAATTGTGTGAGGTCGTGTCCCGAGCATCCAAAAGACTTGGAAAATCTTCTAAAATAAATCTCGAGCCCTAAACAAGACCTACATCAAGGAAAGCAAAGCGAGTAAAGAAGAAAGACGAAAATAACCCTAAAACGCAAGAAAACATAAAATAAGCAAGAATTAAGAAACAAATGAGCAAATGAATAAAAGTAAGCAATTATTAAGAAAGAAAGCTATAAAAAGAAGGGAAAAACAACCTAAAACACTACCCTTTGAGTGCCATAAATGACACTCGTCAAGTGGGTGGTGGGGGTGGTGTAGTGTAGGCTCAAAGTTTGGGGCTATTAAGTTTGAGTGAGGGAGTGAGTTGCATATTTGTTGTTAAGAGATTTTTTGGGGTAGTGAGTTGTTAAGGGATTCTTTGGGGTAGAACTATTTGATCCAATTTTATTAAGGCACGCATTAGTTTTGGAAGAATTTGTCATACATGATCAGTGAGTTGTTGCGCAAGAGGGGGAAAGAGGAGAGAGAAAGGAAGAGAGGAAGAGGGGGAAAGAAGAGAGAGAAGAAAATAAAAATACAATTGTATGTTGTTAATCATATAAGACAACAAATGACGCATATCAGCCAATAAAAAGTAACATATCAACCAATTGATGTCTTATATAAGTTAACATTAGGGACATATCAGACATTAATAAAAAAAAACGTATTAGCCAACAAAATGAACCTATCAGCCAACAAAAGAAACATATCAGCCAACAAGAGGAATATATCAGCCAACAAAAGGTACAAATCAGCCAACAAAAGGAACATATCAACCAACAAATGAAGCATATCAGCCAATAAAAGGATGAAATCAGCAAACAAAAGCAAAAGAAACATATCAGCCAACAAAATGAAATATATAAGCCAACAATTAAACATACGTATCAGCCAACAAAATAAAAATATCAGCCAACAAAATAAATATATCAGCCAACTAAAGAAACATATCAGCCAACTGATATCTAATAGCAGCCAATAAAAGAAACATATCAAAAATAAAAAATAAAAATTTATATCAGCCACCAAAAGGAATATATTAGCCAACACAAAAACCATATCAGCCAACAAATGAAACATATCAGCCAGCACATGAATCATATTAGCCAAAAAGTGAAATATATCAACCAATACCTTCTCTTATAATAATAGAGCTCCTAACACCTAAATTAAATTAAGTTTTATAAATGATATCATCCATCGTAATTAAAAATAACGGGAAAGATGTATATATGATATCATCTTGTATAACTTCTAAAATAAAATTATCATTGAATAGTTGAAGTAAATGACATAAATAGTTTAATTGAGGATATGATTTCGATCTACAACCAATGATATGATTACTTTAATTGATGATATAATATTCTACCTCCGTTTCATATTATTTACATTAAAGAATTATTTATATCTCACAAATAATACCTCTTTGTTGCAAATAATATGAAACGAAGGTAGTATAATTCTCTATAACCAACAATATTATTACTTTAATTTACTTAGGATATTAGATTATTTAGTATTAATACAATATTAATATCCTCTTTCCTATAGTACATATTATTCATTTTAAAGAAGATATCATCATTTCACTACATATCATAATTTTTTGTATTATTGTAGAGTCAATCAACTAAATATTTATACAAAACCGCAGAGTTTGATTAATTTAAATATGATATTGGTGAAAAAATTAAGTTATCATTAATGGGAAGAGTTTTCGTTGATCGTGAAGATGCATTAACATATGTATAAAGCTCATTTTAGAGCTATAGTGTTCGAAAAACTACTGTTAGAAGAACTAAGAGTTATGAAAAATTAATGAATTTTACTTAAGGCAAAACATCATAGAGGAGGAAAATTTGATCTGTTAATGAGACTAGTTGGTTGTAATGCTATAATAAGATTCAAGAGAAAAGACATTGGTGGGTATTATGCTATTCACCACAATGTAGAGCACATTCATAAGTAAGTGAATCCTTTCGAAAGACATCCTTATTTAAAATCTGAAAGAAGTATAAAGGAAGAAATGGGAAAGCTCATTAAAAAGATGGTTGAGAACGGGATTAAACCAATGGATTACTACACTTTTCTTACCAATGAAGTAGGATTAGAGGAAGTTCTTGGGAAAACAAAGAGAGACTTCCTAAATTATGTCACTAGATATAAAGCACAAAGAGTTAAAGGGTGATGTATACCTTTTTGTTTTTTTTTTTTTTTTTGTTTTACAGATAGTTTGTTGAACTTTGATCAAATTGTGAGTTACTTTTGGCGTGATTTGATGATGTTAGAGGATATATCAAAGCATTTGGAGATATCACTGTTTTTTACACCACATAAGACAATTAATTATGGATTAATATGTGCTCCATTTGTGGAGTAAACAATCATTGGAGAACAACAATGTTCGATTGTGCTTTAATAACTAATGAAACAACAAAAACACTTCAATGGATTCTTGAAATTTTTAAAAAGTCTATGAAAGTATTAGAATCAAAGCAAGGCAATGTTCACCAATCAAGATTAAGCAATGAGCAATGCAATTGCAAGGGTACTCTAAATAACTTTTACTTTTAACACTACAAGAAAAAGGTCTATTTCTAATGAATAGATTTTGATGGCTAGGTCTTAGGTTGGGTACCAATCTCTCATTCTCGGTTTTTTAATAATTAGAAAATACTTGTGTACTACCCTACAAATGAGGAACAAGTAATAAAATTAATGATAAAATTATAAAAATTCATGTAAAAACAATAAAAATTTGTATATATTATAAATTTATATTACATGTAAAGATTAATTGGTAGAAGTTTGTTTAATTTTGTCAACCATCACAGGAAATCCTTTCTTCTTATCAACTAATTTTTTCAATTGAATCAAATTTTCAGTGATAGAATCCAACATCTCAAGAAATTCATCATTCATTTCAAAATTTGATTCCGGCTGAGAAGCTTCTTGTGATAATTTTTCAGCATCTTTCTTAAGTTCCTTAATCAAACTTAGATTAAAAGAAGAAGAAATCTTCATATTACGATGAAGAGTCATCAGCTTCTTTTTAACATCCTGAAAAGGATATCAATAAGTCACATAGAAGAAATTAAAAACGTAAGGAAAAAAAAAAGGAGGTATAGTATTAAAAACACAAGAAAACATTTATTAGATCGATTGAGATATAATTTTTACATTGGAGGATGTCATATGACGGAATGAGAATATCATTTAAAAACAATAACATATATATCAATAACAAGAAGGATACAATTCAATTAAAATTATAACCTATTTAATTGAGGATATCATTATCATAACAGAGAACGGTACAAGGGTATCATTATTTGATTAAAGGATATGATTAAAACGCATAAGGATATCATAATTAAAACATAGAATAAGATTAACTAGGTGTCTAGGTTGCATGAGTTCATAAGTAAGTAAAATTAGGACATCATTAAAAAAAAAAAAAAAAAAAAAAAAAAAAAAAAGAATGAGGATATCATTTTTAGAACAAAGGAGATGAATAACAAGAGTAAGGATATCATTATCAAAACAAAGGACATGATGAACATGAATAAGGATATCATAATTAGAACAGAGGATAGTAAGATTAAGGCCATGATTATTATATAGAATGAGGATATCATTTAAACACATATTAACAAACATTATATAAATGATATAATAAAAATATAGTAAAACAACAAGAAAAACTTACTAGAACATCCATAGATTGGATTTTTCTATCTGTCGGAAGATCGTTAGGGATCTTGTATTGCACATACAATGTTGACTCAGCTTCACTTGAAATCCGCAATTCATTTTTATATTCAAGAGCTAAAGGCACATTTTTTTCAATTGCTTCAAGCGCCTTCGAATGTTCATATAATACATCAGAAGAAAGAACAATATCTTGCTTAACAATACCAAAACCAAACTGAGAACGGTCTTCAGTTTGTACCTTGATTCGAGCATTTAAAGTATCAGAATTCCAGTTACTAATAAATGGAAACTTAACACTCGCATAATCTTCATAGTGGACTTTTTGAACAAAAGTCACCAACACAACTGGAAACAACCGCCAATCTTTCTAACAAATTTGGTGGGATTTTGGCCATAGATACAGTAGCAGCAGGCCTCTTCTTTTTATTAAGCAAATACTTGTGTAATTCCTTAATTGAATTACACATATTCTTTATAATAAATCCACACCAATCAAAATCCTTAAGCTTCTTAACATCAAATAATGACTTAACCGCACTAAGGTTAAGAGACTTATCACCATAAGGTGATAAAAAAATTAGAAATCGCAAACAACACAAAAATCTTTTTGAATTCATCTCCACCATCCTTTAACTTTATAAACTTTTTTTTTCCAAAAATCCAAAGCCACATATTTATTTCTAGTCACTGTCTTATCTGTTAAATAATATATAACAAAAAAAAATTAGAATGCAAGATATAAATAAAAATAAACCATTATTAGATAGATGATATTAATTTCAAAGGAAAAATTAAAATACATCAAGACATAAATAATTACCCTTTTTTTCAATATCAGACATATTCTTCTTCGATGTAGAAGATTTTGAAGGAACTATAATAAAAATAAAAATAAAAATAAAAAATTAGAGTTATACACAATCATAAATAAAATAAGAGGATGGATTAATCTAACATGTCATTTATGTATAAGAGAATATCATGTGCATTAATAGAAGATATCATTATTTAGATAGAAAACATGATTACAACAATTAAGGATATCATAATCAAAACAAAAGATAAGTGTTTCGGGGTTTTTTGATGTTCTGCAGGAGAGTTACAATTCCGAGACTGGAACTGGACGCCTGTACCTGCAAAACAAACGGAGACTCCGAGTGATTGGAGTTCCGCCTCCAACGGTCAATTTAGTACTTGTTTAAGGAGTAATTAATGCGGAAAGGTAAAACATGTTTCTCTAGGTGAGAGTAATTAATGAGCGTCCTCCCATTTAATGAGGATTAATGAAGGTATTTATAACCTTGGGAAGCGTGTCAATCCTAGGTTTAGGTTAACCTAGGGCTGATTGGGCTTCCCTTCGAAGTTGGGCCTAGGTGACCGGTTTTTCCATTAGGCAAGGAGGATGCCACGTGTCGTGACATAATAGGTCCAGGGTGGACAAATAGGCGCGTGCCACGTGGCAAACCCTGACAGGTCCAACTGGAGGACACTTGGCAGGACCTGATTGGCCCACATGGCGCATTCCGATTGGTGGGAGCAAAATCCCTTAATCATTTGCCCCTCGCAGGTGGCACGTGACTGGTCACATGTCACCTGTGACAGGTGTCGGCCTGTAACAGGCGACGACCTGCTACAGGTGTCGTTTGGTGAAAGGCCGGGAGTATTTCCCGCTCATTTTTCGAATTTGAAGAGTGTCCCTTCAACTTGTTCTCTTGCCTATATAAGGGCATGTTGACTTCACATTTGTTCACACTTGAGAACTTTTTAAGAGAACACTCGGACCCCTGAACCTGCTCTGACATTTTGGACATTTCTAGCCTACCGCCTGTTTTGACAAGCCGAATGATATTCAGATTACTTTCCAGGTCTTCGTCAACTTCTCAATCGTTTAGTTAATCGTCTGTTCTCTTATTCTTTTACATTTCTTTATTTTTTCTTTTTTGAAATGGCACCTCGGAAGCACACGACACGACCTAGGTTAGTGATCAGCCGGTCACCGGGGACGGCTGAGTTTAGGACTAGGAGTGCCGCCTGCCCCTTTTCGAACCAATCTTTGCCCTTTATACAAAGACCGACTGTCTCTGTCTCTATGCAGAACATAATGGCCAAAACAAAAAGAACACCTAGGATCACCAATTTAGACGGCTCCTCCTTCCAGGTGCCGATTAGTGAAACATCAGATCAAACGCCAGATGTTGAAGTGAACCAAGGCGGTTCGGCTGCCGACATCTCTGAGGGAGGGATCAAGGTGGTCCCTTCTCATTTTATCGTAGACATGTCTACGTATTCTCCCGCTCTTACTGAAGGAGAGGAGGCGGGCCCCTCAGGGAGAGGGGAGGAGTCGGACTCTTCGGACTCTTCAGAAGACGAGTCTGACTCCAACTCTTCAGGTCATCTTTCTCTCGACTTAGAGGAGGGGCACAACCGCCTACAGGAGGCGAGACTTTCCCATTTAGTAGAGAAGGGGGACAATTGGGCGGAGCCATCCGCCACTCAAAGAGAGCAGAACACCCCTTACTACTGCACCGTTCCGAAAGGCCGAATCAAGGCCATGCAAGAAAAAGTGGGCAGCTTTGTAGCGGCCCATGTAATGGGCCCTGGCTTTCTGGTTTTTGTGCCAGATCCGGAAGACACAGTCGTTTGGCCGGCTGGGACTAGTTATGATAGCGCCTGCTTTGGCTGCTATGAGGCGGCCATTAAGGCTGGTCTGCGTTTCCCCTTACATTCGTCTGTTCAACGAATCCTTGACGGATATGAGTTGGGGTTATGGCAGTTAGCCCCTAATTCCTGGTTCAATGTTCTCGGCTATGTAGCCGGATGTGAAATGTATGGGGTAGAGCCTAATTTCGAGGCATTCCCCCATATGAACTATCTCAGCCAGACCCCTAAGGCAGGCGGTACCGGCTGGTACCAATTGACAAGCCTCCGAGGCTACCTCATGACAAGAGGTAAAGAGAACAAATGGAAGGATTGGAGAAGCACCTTCCTTATTATTGAGAGTTCAGACAAAGAGCTGAACAAACTCTTCAATAGGTGGAACAGAGACCCGCCTCTTCTTGCAGGCGGTCGCAGCATGCCGCCTGTCCCTCTCAAAGCTAAAAAAGAGATCCTGGACCGAGGACTCTTTAAAGTAGAGACCAGGGTCAACTCTACTATAGGGGTACGCGAGCAAGTACCCCTAAACTGTGTCCCAAGTTACAAATGGCTCTATGATGAGTACTTCCTGGCCGCTTGTGGCCTTAGCAGTCGATGCTCTAGAGGTAGCCGACCTGTCGAATACGTACTTTTGTGGAAATTATTTCTGAATTTTCCTAACTTTCGCATTCCTTTTTGCAGCGGAAGCCATGAGCAAAATAACCGCCTCCAAAGCAGCGGCTGCTATGCTACGAGCATCCGTCATGTAACAACACTCATTAGCTGACTCTCCCACCAAGGAGACGCCCTTAATGAGTTCCCAGCTTTCACCCCCCCTTTTTCTTTTAAAAGGTTGGATTTATACAAGTATTAACCATTTTTTTTTTTCAGACGGGCACACCAAGAACTTCCTCCTCCCAATAGCCGGACCCAAAATCCCGGAAGACGACTATGGGGAGTTTGCCTGGTTCTGCCAGGAAACCAACGGCTGCTGACAAACAGCCGGCCACTCCATCCCAAACTCCCAGCAGGCCGCCTAGAAGTATGAAACTGCTCTTCTAGACTTTGACCTACTATTCTTTCACCTTGTCTAAAATTTCTGTTCACTCTTGATACAACCGGCCCTCAAGAAGCGGACCTGGTCGAAGTGGCCAAGTCCATGATTAAAGTCGTCCCTCCAGCAAAGAGAGACGCGGTCCGGGGTGTCGGCACCCTTGACCTAGATGGAATTGCAGGGCTCCTTGCTGAGGTATACTTAGCGTATTTTTGTTGTTTAATCCCAGGACGCCTGATTTTTTGTTTGAAATCTGACGCCTGTTTTCTTTTATTCAGTCCCTGCTCCGAGTAAACGGCCTTCGCAAACCCATTAGTGCGAAGAACAAAGAGGTAAAGGCTGCTAAAGCCATGGCCGCCTCTGACTGTGATAAGGCAATGTTTCAAATTGCCCAAAATGAAATTTTGACAACTGATATTCTTTATTATCAGGCGCAGGCCACTTCTACTATTAGGACTGAGTTGGAGGCGGCCAAGAAGAAAAACAATGAGTTGGAGGCGACCATCCAGAACCTTAAAGCCGAGCTAAGGCCTCTTAGGCAAAAGGTGTCCCAATTCGACACCTTGGAGAAATCCTTGGAGCGTGTCAAGGAACGCCTGGTAAACCAGGAGAAGAGCCTCACTGAAGAGCTCTCGGCCAAGTCTGAGCAAGAGAAGAAGGATTTGGTTCGAGACATGATGGAGGACTCGGCCCAAATCCAGCGCATGACCTGGACTCGCCTCTTTCCAAACGCCGACTTTGCTTCTTGGGAAAAACAATTTCGCCAATGCTCTGAAACGTATAACCAATAAGTCTTGCTAGCGGCTGCTGAGAATGATGCGCTAGAGGAGGAGGAGGAGGAGCCGATTGTGGGGTGCCGATGCGTCTAAAAAGGGTGCAGCTGATGCCGAGACAAGCAAGAAGAATGCTTCTCAGAAGCAGGCGTCTCTTGCTGATTAGGCGGCTGTTGTTGTTGAAGATCTGCCCCCATCTTGAAACTTATGTCTTCTTTTTTCTTTTCTTCGGCCTGCGTACCGTCTGTTTCTGTATCTCTTTTACCTGGCCAGGGGGTCGGGGTCTTTAAATATTTTACCGGTCTTTATGGCCGATTTATTTTTGTATCTTTACCCGGCCAGGGGGCTAGGGTCTTGAATATTTGTGCCGGTCTTTATGGCCGACTGTTAATAGAATTTCGGCAACCATATTTTAGGTCGCCTTAGCTGCCAAATTTTGAATTTTGCTTTTTCCTTTTATTTTTGCTAAGTGTCGAAACTCTGATATCCGCTTGCATGTCATACCGACTATTTTGTATTTTTGTATGGCCAATAGTTGCAGACAGGTACAATGTAGGAGCTGCCTATGCTCCTGGACGACTGGTTGTCTATTTCCAGGCTAGGCAATCAGTCGACCATTTATCCAACCGGTCTCTAACGTATTTTGATGACTGGTTCACCTTTACACAGGCGGTCCCATCATATCTTTTGAAATCGGCTAAGTATGAGGGAGATTACTTGCTTGTCATGGTTAGTATGAGTAGTAGAGGCACTAGGCAACATAGGCCGGTTAGTCCCCCTGACTTATCAAACCTTGTTGGATTTTTACTCAAGGTGTGATAACTTGGTAAGAACAGGCGGTATGTGAAAACCTTTTTCAATTTCAAACCAAGTTGTAAGGAGTGACTATAAGTAAACATGGTCGTC